ATATTGCCCATTCATCGGCCAGCTCCTGTCGGTCATTGGGTACTCTGTATTATTCACCGATCCTCTAGGGAATTCCATCTTTTTGACAGTTTTGCTGAAGAGCAGCCCTTGTTAAGGTCGTGCTCAAGGGAGAGGATTACTCAAAGGGCTTCGGCTTCAGCTCGTGCACTGCGCCCCTTACCCGAGTACGTGCCCTTTAATTTCTGGGGGACAGAGGGGAAGTCCGACGGAAGTCCGGGGAGTTCCGGAGGACTTAGTGTCAGTGGAGTTCGGCGGAACTCCTGGAAGGTTTATACTGGGACGGAGTAAGGCTACTACAGAAGTCCAGAGTAGAAACTGAACAGAGGTTAGACTACCCTAAGGTAGAGCCAGAGAAGTAGTCCTAAGGTTTAACCCCTAAGACTCAGAGGTGGACAAGAGATGAGACTCAAGTCCGGAGATTGCAGGAATGAGCAGAACTAAGATGATATTCGAACTGAGGAGTTCCGGAGTATTACAGGGGTTTATATACTGTAGGTATCATGTAGGTAAATCAGTCAGCAAAGGTGAGGGCTATGTATGAAGCATGTGGAAAGTCTATTACCAAGTATAACAGATCAAAGCAGTGAAGTCGGAAATGAAGTAAGAATGGACGGATCAGTAAGCATAGCGGAATAGGACATAACCAGTAACTGGAGCAATAGCTAATCTAAAAGGAGTTAGGGGTGAGTGCGGAGATGAAGGCGGAGCAGCCGGGCAGAATAGTAAGATGGAGGACCGGACTTTAATGGAGTAGATCTGGAATTCCAGATCCGGAGGTACGGGATATGACAGCCCTTGGCAACTTGATGTCAAGGTGAGGGCTCAGCCAGTTATGAAATATGCGGGAACACTGATATCATCCACATAGGCTATTATGACGCTTGTGTCTCGTCTACTATCTATTGCTCGTCAACACCACCCTGCAGTATCACTCGATCTTCAAGGATGGAAAGCTCGTCCACTTATCGTAAATTGATTTGGCATGAAGTCTGAGTCCTTACTAACTACATTTTCTAGCTCAAACCTCTTCAGACGAACGGTTACAACTGCGGAGTTTGGGTACTAGCTGGAATTATGGCAGTCTTACAAGGTTTTCATCTTACAGGCTTGCGTGAGGATGACATGGAGAGCTTCTGGCATTTACTATATTGCCTTGTTCTCAATCTCGATATAGCATAGACAGACTCTTCCTGTGATGTTCAGTTCAATATATTTGTATAAGTCGCACCCCAAAGTCCGGTTTCCGGTACCCTGTTATCAGTTGGACCTTCCTCAGTTCCTTCTAACAACTTCAAACCCTGAGCAAACAAAGTCCTGAACCGTTCCCTCACGGCCACCCTTGGCACTACTTGCCCTTCCTCATCCTTCCTTGTTGCACAGCATTGTCTGCTGCGCTCACTCACAGCTGTGTAACTGTGTCAACAACCTTCCTGTGCACAAGGATGGAACAGAGGTCTGCGAGAGTCGAATGGAGGGCCTGCGAGGGTCGCAAGGGTCGCATTGAGTCTGTCAATAACGGAGGGAGGCTCGAGAGGCTCATGGAGATTACTGATACATACTCTGCAACATACCATTGTAATTCGAGTCCACGAATACTGAAGACATGATTACTACACAACTACTGGTGTGATCATATTACTTTCTTGCGACCCCAAAAGCTCGTCAACTTCCTCTTTGTCCTTGATGATGCCTTCTTCATCCTCGAAGACGCCTTCCTCCACTGCTTCAATAGCATGTTGGCTGGTGCAGGCGATCTGCGGGATAAGGTCACCATGGTCAACTTCCACTTCGTCCTCGATGATGGCTTCTTCGTCCTCGATAACGCCTTCCTCCACTGCTTCAATAGCATGCCGGCTGGCACAGGTGATCTGCGGGATAAGGTCACCATGGTGGTGAGTGCTCAGGACTGGCGAGCATTGCCTTGTTGCATGCAACCTCCAGTAGGATGGGGGGACTGGTACCTCAATGAAAACACGGAGTCCTCTGTCGATGAGGTGGCGCGGGAGGAGAGTTTGAACAGGGAAGCGTCATCCGGACAAGCCAAACCAAGCCTGTCAATCCTTCCATTGGCGAACTCGCACCGCCCACAAGTGATCAAAAAATCTCTTACAGGTGCTTCTCCTGACTATGACGGGATCACTGCGACAACATAAGATTTTTGCAGGCGTTCAGTGTGGTGACGGACTTGATGGTGAGTACATCCCTCTTGAGGGCATCTGCGAGGACACGCCACTCATCAAGAGAGAGGTCGCTTATTCCCTTGCTTTTTGCCAGTGTGGGGCGTTTCTCACCAGGCATGAGGATATTTTCAGGGTAGTTTTGGAGGATACAGCCACGACGGGCTAGAACAGTGGGTAGCGTCTTCCACGGGAAGTTTCCTCCTCGCCCTTCAAGTGTTCCTGTACTAAATTTAGTAATTCTACACTTGATTTGACCATTGTACTTACCGAGAAGTGCTATCAAACCTCCAATGATGCAAGGGATCCCATCGAGGAACCTCCATCTGTCGGGAACAGAAGCTTGTTGCCTCTCCAACCATCTATCCAATACCTCCTGCGCTGGCAGCTTATGTTGCAATGCAATGCATTCGAGAGCATAATCGAGTTTAGAGAAATCCATCGACGCAAAGAATACTTTTGTTGTTAGAGGTAGAAATCCATCGACTGCAGAAATTTGAACATCGATAACATGGGGAGAAGAAGTACTGCTTGAAACTAAAAGCCATCTACTGCAGAGCTCGAACATCGATAACGTAGCGAGAAGAAGTGTGCCTTCATCGATAATCGATGGAAGGAATATGTATTATGCAAGCTGAGTCATCTTGATGATATCGTGGATTTGTGGTATTGCTTCCTGCACATTACGCTCCTCATGAGCCATTTTTTAAAATCATGCAGGTGTATCAATAGAGACCACAACATGGAACACAACAAAAACTTTGTATTTGACACTGCTAGTATGAGAATACGCAAATATATGTGAATACAGGACATGGAGAGACAGATCATAAGCGGAACGGCTTGAACATATGCAAATAACACAATATCAGTCATCAGCAAAACTGCCCGGATCCTATGAGGCCATGAAAGGCCTCACAAGGCCATAAGAGGTGGCTGTGAGCCTGGCAGACTGTGCAAGGCTCGCAGTACCAGTGAGCGGAAATACTCCGGTCAAGAAAGGCGTCATGGGGCTTGTATGAATGAGAGGATCATCATTGCCATGCAAGGCCTCGAGAGGTTCAGAGGCTAGAAATATTTTTCGAAGCTTTCAACATGCACCCGATTTATGCAACCTCCAACAGGCTACTAGATTCATCTGCCTCAGATGGAGATCACTGCACAAAACAACGGGCTCACACCAATCCTGAGACACAAGAGCATACTACGTAGCATAGCATTGGAACATATGTACTGCATATGTCGTCACGAGGCAATAATGGGTCAAGTGGGAATGTAAAATAGCTTCAACAATGAGTGTGCAAGTGATACAGTTGACGAGCCTCGATCATGAGGGCACAAGCCACGTTCGAAAGAAAAGATGAAAAGTCAAGACAGCACTCTAATGCATTGAGGAGGCCAATGAGTATTTCATGCTTCTGTCATTGTAACATCAGCCAGTGATGTGTCTGCAGCAGAAGGGTCATTCTCCACTGGAGATGTCTGTGGAATATTGGCTTTCTGCCATTGACAGCAGCTTCAACCACATTCTCATTTCCCTTGCTAGCGCCGAGAATAGCATGCTATTTGTCGACCATTGATTTCACTCGTGTCCAGAACTTGAATTCGTCGTCACGGGGAACCTTATCCATGGATAAAGCAGCAATGTGACACATGACCTTACTGATTTTGGAAAACTGCATGGAAATTTGGGTAACAGAAGCGATGAGTACACGTTGCAAACATGAACAATGGATGCAGGACGCACTGAAAGGTATAGTATGAGATTGGGATGGTCATAGTTTTCGATAGTTGAAAAGAGTTGATCAAGAGCAGGCATTTCCTAAAAAATGTTGATCAACGACTGATTGACTGAGAACAAATGGAACATACTTCAACAGCAGGTAACCCTTTGCTCCCCAGAAGCGCCTTCTGCAATTTATGTCTCCATTCTCGGACTTTCTTAGCTTCGTTATCCCCTTCCAAGGCAGCTGAATAGAATATCAGCACAAAAAGAAGTGTGTATTTTTCAAACAGCGGACATACGATCAATATCCTCCTCTTTCTCCCGCTTGGGCTTCTTGGATGGGGGAGGAGCCGCCTTAGCACTCGACCCTGCCTCCTCATCCTCTTCAGCCTCGGCTTCTAGCTCACCTTTGTCTTCTGACTCAACCATTTCCTTTCGATTTGGCACCATTCTTCTTCCCCTTGGATGAGGGAGCCTTTTTCTCGCCTTTGACCTTGGATTTGGCCTTAGGCTTGAGGGGAGGTGCTTCAGGAATCCCAGTTTTCATTTCTTGGTTTTGGCTTGTTTTTTGGCTCCATCGTTCTCATTCTCGCTGTCGAGCTGGTCAACTGGGGCATTGTCTTCCTGTTCAACTGCTGCCAAGTCTGCGTGTAGAAACTGTATTACTATATTAGGTTACTATTTGGTTCCGATGTCACGGGTAATCAGACAAGGTTGCTAGCTTTTTTTAGCTTACTGTAAGCGAGCGCTCTCATTGGTGGAGAGGACTAGAAGTCCGAGACTATACCAAACAGGGATCGATCCGTTCAGCAATCGTTTTTCAATGGGTCTAAACACTGATGTGGTCCGAGTCAGGGGTATATCCCATTGTACAGTAAGTAACTTGAAGATTTGTATCAGATGTACCCCTACAATGAACTTCCTCAATGACTAGCTTCAGTTTTAAAGCCTTCGCACGCTTGCTAATACACTTTCCTTTGGACTTGCGAAGAGGAGGTAGTGAGGTGCTCGTACACTTGTGTTTGGAGCGGGCACGAGAGTTAGCGATTGACGAGTCCGAACTACTATGCTCCAAAACTTGCTCGTAAGAGGAATCGCGGGTGCTGCTTTGTACCATTGAAACATGTCTTATGCCAGGTTACATACTGCGAGTAGGCAGGTCATTTCAACAGCGCTGATAAATCCCTTAGCAACAAGGGACCACTCAATGGGGAATGTGATATCAGCGTGCTCGAGGGCAGATCAGTCGATGGTGGGGTTGAGCTCTTTTGAGAACGTGATGAGAGAATCTCTCATCTTGGCTAAACCTCTTTTGAACATAGTAGTAACTGCATCCATCTGTATAGGGAACAGTGTCTGTGTTTAATTTCATAGCATTAATTCAAAAACATAAATTCAATCAAAAGAACTTATGCCATACACCATGTGTTGAGGATCTTTATCATGAACGTCAATTAGAGCCCCATCATCTCCCTTGATCCATACAAAATACTCCACCGACTCGAGATGACACCACGTATGATTGGGATAATGACGGGCTCGTTGAAAACCCTTGGTGTAGAATGTTGTTTAGTGAAGAGTCCGATGGGAAGGGGTGAGGGGTCATCCGCGCCGTTACAAAGGATCTTTGATGCGGTGGAATCGTCTGCAGGGCAGGCGTACAGTTTAGCTTCACGTACTAATACTATCACCACTATGATGATCTCCGGATGTGCTGCGATTTCATCCTGCACTTTCTTAAAGATACTATCCCTCTCCTGGGAGAACGCACACTCTCCTACGAAAGGAATCAAAACCTTTTCTATGATCTTCTCCGTGGCGGAGATCGAGATGGTCATATCAGGCTGAACAGTTTGATCAATAAGCGCGAGCGGGTAATTCATATGCACCAGTGGTCGGATAACGAAGGGATCGTACGAAAGCTTGGTGATCGCCAGAGTAAAGGATTGGCTGAGATAGTCGAAGGCTGATTCATGGAGGATGCTAGGCATGTCGACGCTGAGGATGCGCGTGGTATAGTTGTAATTTAATCTGGACGACTTCAGCATTACTTAAAATAGAATGAATCATTAACGAATAACCTGGGCCTTGTCAATACCCGGTCCGCCGCTTGCTCTAATAATATGAATTCTTGCGCTCTCACACCATGGAATTCCTGTGATATTTGGTAAGCGTATCAGCCACAGTATTCATTGACTCAGAACTTACCTGACTTTTCTCCAGAGTAATTGTAGTTATGTACTTCAAAACCTTCCTTGTATCTTCAACCCAATCAGAATAAAAAAATTACTGCTGCGTCAGACATACTGGAGGTAAGGTATTCATAATGGAAAGATTGAAGGATATCATGATACAACTTGAATGGATCTGCGATAGCAGGGACACCTTTAGCTGGTTTATTCTCCTGTAGCTCCTCTTTTACAGGCATAGATGTTTGGCTGGATAAGACTTTTGCAGTTTTGTTGAGTGGTGAACCTGGGGGTATTGATGTCAAAGGACTGGACTTGTGGCCAAATCTGGTGAGCACTGGCACAGGTGTTGCCTGTGGACTAGTAGGACTCCTGGTTTCATATGGTTTATAAGGGATTGGGATCTTTCTGGGGAAAGAGCTGCAGTGAGGATTACTGTCAAGTTGAGTTATGGTAGACATCGAGGTTGGATGCTGGGCGAGTTGACTTCAAGAAGTTGTGTGGCACTGAGGTCAGATTATCAAAGATTACAAATGATAACTGATTATGTTCGTACCTGTCAATGATGCTTACTAAGTAAGTATCATGGCTGATATGAGCCCAATGAACCTGGTGCTGTCAGTTGATTCTGATTTTTCCGACACATTTTTCTGTCTGGGACTCTAGCAGTTTCAATGTCACCCTTGTCACAGGCAGGCCTCACAGCTATGAAAAAATCGTAAACCCTCTTGAGCCTCCGGAAATGGGCACTATGCAAAACTCGCAACCCTCTCGAGCCTCCCTTCTAAGATGCTGTAACAACCAGATATAACAGGCTACAGCTGGTACTTTTCATAGGTTGTTTATACATTGCCTCTTGCAAAATGGTCTGCGACCACCGTCACATCAACACCATCCCACCTCATTGATGCTGCCATGCTCACAGATTCTCAATCTTTTTCTGTCACTCGGATTGTAAGTAATGGTAGTTGTATGTTCAGATTTTGCTGACCTGCTTCTAGTTTGTGGATGTGGCCGTGTCGACAGAGGACGCTGAACTTAGTGAAGCCACCGAAGGCTCCGGAGTCAGTGAGGAATGGAAGAGCCTCGATGGAATACCCTGTATCATGGGCGGGATAAGAGCTCTTGTTGGTAAGATTAATCATCACACATTCATACTAATCTTGACATTATTTTAGCATCACTCGGTGGGACACTGCGCGGGCGCACCAGCACTGACTTTCCCTGGAAAACACTCCCCAAAGAACTAGCTCACCTCGGGTATGTTCTTATCAATTACCCTGAAGAGACCTTGATGCCCGGTGAGCTGCAACCAAATCTCTCTCAAACCAAGGGCATCCACGGTCTGAACCACCACCATTGCGTCAATATTGTAAATTCCCTCAAAGCAGGCACCCTCACCATCTGCACAGTTATGAGTGATGCTGCCCGTACATGGCTCATCACCTCAAAAGACCCCATTATTATTGGGGATGCCCCCTCAGCTTGCTCAATGTACTCTTTTGGGCGATGTACATTCGCTGATGGCCGCATTGACCAAAAGGGTCTTCCCTGTCTTCGGCTGCCTCCTGCACCTGCCTCTCATTGTATGCAAGTCATTGTGGAAATCACATGGCTGCCACCACACCCAGCTTCTCGAGCACTCCACAAACCATCTACCAGAGATCTTATCCCACCCATAGCTTCTGTCCAGGGGGGATCATCCAGCTCTGAAACTATCGGTACCAACGACGAAGATGATTATGAGGACACAGACTCACGAGTTAGCGAGAGTGGTAGTCACCCTGCGAAGCGCCTTAGACGCTCATAACACTAAATGTAGATAGTACATGTATGTAGCTCAAGAAAATCGGTGCTTGAGCTTCTAACCTAATTCTGACATCTCGTTGTCTTTAGGCAGCAAGGCTTCAGCCTCATTGTTTCCTCAATGTGATCTTTAGTAATAAATTTGCTTTCATTCAGGGCTCTCTCTGGAGCCTCCAAAAGGCCTACAATTCAGCCCTCTACACCCTCCTCAGCCACTGCTCTTGGACCTTCATAATGTCTTGTATGTTAATTTTTGTTTCTATACCTCTTCTCATTGTCAACGCAATATTTAGTAATCAATTTCCTCTCATTCCAAGCCCTCTCTGGGGCCTCCAAAAGGCCCACAATTCGCCCTCTGCACCCTCCTCAGCCACCACTCTCGGACCTTTGTAATGTCTTGTACGTTGATTTTTGCTTATGTACTTTTACCCGTTGTCAATGCGACCCTTAGTAATCAATTTGCGCTCATTCCGAACCCTCTCTGGAGCCTCTGTAGCCTCCAAATGGCCGACAATTCGCCCTCTGCACCCTCCTCAGCCACCCCTCTTGGACCTTCATAATGTCTCATATGTTAATCTTCACTTCTGCCCGTTGTTTTGTTCCAACTTGTTTGGTCTGAATGAAATGAGACCTGCTAAAATTTTACCATAAGTATGAGGCCTTGTGTCCATTTTTTTTTTTTGGCCCGTCTTCAAATCTCATTTGCGTGAGGCCTATACTCGGATTCCCAGCCACTTACCTTGTGCAACTGCCACAATGGTTAATCTATCGGAGCACTACTCTGACCATCCTGACGACCAGGTGTCATCACCTCCCACATACCTTCCTGCAGCCTCGTCTGCTACTGTGGGCTCTGGATATGCGCAGGGCGGATATGTCCAGGAACAGTTTGAAGGTGGTCGCTATAAGGATATGCCAACAGAGCTTACTCCGTCAAGGCTGCGTAGCACAATCAAGCCGACGTCGCGGGACATTGGTATTGCAAGGGATGCTGCTATTCGACGTCAAGCAGCCTGCACTCCCAGTGGCCAGACCGCTAGTGACTTCTTTGCTGGTAATTCTCCATCAAAAAAAATTTCTGCTATACTTCTGACCTTACCTTTGCTGCTAGATTCCACGCACTCTGCTGCGAACAGCCATTGCAATACTCCTTTGGTTGAGGATGTGCCTGCTCAGTGTCCTGTGCAGGTGCAAGATCTATTTGTCAACACTTTGGCACCCACTGGCCAGCAGCAGCCGGTCATCCCTCAAAATACGGACGTATTCACCCAGCAGCCCCAGTATGGCGCTCTGGATTCAGACTCCAAGAGCCCTTACAACCTCCTCGCAATGTCGTCTGGAGCTCAGCCTTTGTGGTCTGTGCTGTCACCTCTGATGCAACACGAGGCTCCCAGTGTCTCACCTAGCCTGCTGGCTTCCTATTCTCAGTTACCAACCTCGCCTCTTCTCATGCCTGCAGGTCCAAGCTCTCATGGAGGTTTGTATTCTGCGTTACCGACCTCGCCTCTTCTCATGCCTGGACTTGCAGGTCCAAGCTCTCAGGGAGGTTCGCAACCTCAAGCGCAAAGTGCCATGGATATCTGTGGGTCAGATGGGCCCTGGAACTTTTCGTCCATAGTGCCGGTGAACTCCTTGCTGGCTCAAGGAGCTGTGCCAAGGACACATATCATCCCGCCAACTCCCATCAAGCCCGCAGAGTTTTTGGCTCCGCCTGCTGCCAGTGGGTCAGGTCATTGTGCTGTCACGTTCACTCCATCAACTGCTGGGGGATCTCACATCGAGTCTGATGTTGCAATGGATGATGATGATGCTCCTGTTGGTGGTTGACATTCAGCAGAGATGACCATTGCACTTAATCAGGGTTTTGCTGCCTTGGATGCCCTCATGATTGATACTGCGAAGAATGCAAACATGCCCTCATACCAGGTAGTCAACCTGTGGATGAAGAGTTGAGGTCGAGTGATCAATAGTACCAACTACTGGAACCTTTATGCAGGGTACTTCAAGGACCACAAGCGCCAGGAACTTGCAAGGCACTGGTGAAGATGCTCCTCCCCAGGATGGTCCGATGACACCAAGTAAGTGGTCCATTTATACTGTGCGCTGTTCGCTCAATGCTATTGATTTATAGGCACTGGTGTTCACCGTCGGTGCTATAATATCTTCAAGGAAACTTACCCGGATTCTTATCAGGACATCCTCAATACCTACGAAGAACTCGACATGCTGTCAGAAGCTCCTCAAACGATTGCGCAGCACACACAAACATTCCAGAAACTTTACAAGAGGGTAGGCGGTATTGTAAGTGATCTCATCCTGATTTTGTAATATTTTCTTGATGAGCTGAGTGTCCTACCTGCAGCTTGATGGAGCTGCTGCCAGGCAAGGTTTTGAGGCCGCTCTTGTCATGTGTGGTAATATTGTCAATGAAGACTCATCACTTGGTCATGTTCACATGACGCCCAGTGCTGGTGGTGTAAGTGCCGCCCACCTCGAAAATTGTTCATATTTGTTAATACCCTCTGTAGTTCTTTGAGAAGCACTGCCAAGCCAGTGATGATGCCATAATTGGGCATATGAAAGCCCATGTATACAACACCACCTCACTTACTGCCGTGGAACAGGCCTTCAAGGCTGCTGAAGGGGATCGAGAGCAGACACTGATAGAGGTCTTAGATGTGAGCTCGTCTGAGGCAAGTGAAGAGAAGGATGCATTGAAGTCACTCAAGGCTGGTCTAATCAAGCAAGTTGGTCCGTAGCACATCACACCTCGCAGTGAGATCCTGACGATCTTTTCCCCAGCGGACCTTGGTGGCAAGTTTGCAGATAAACCCTTCCCATGGATTTTGATGGCTAGTTCACTTGCTCATGATAATCTATGGATCAAGGGGTACCCCGCACACTTAACTTTGATGCCGGGGGAGTCTCACAATAGTAATTCATGGAGTAAAGGTATTGGAGGACTGACACAGCACGAAATCAATGTGCTCGCTCATGCATTGAAGGCAAAGATAATGCATGTGGTGAAAGTATCAAAAGCTATCCAAAGTACATGCTAATGGTCTTGTGAGATCACATTAGCTCATAATGACTTGACAGCCGCTGTGATAGCCTCTAAGGAGCCTGTCATCATTGGTGAGGCACCTCCTGCAGATTCTCCCTTTTCAAATGTGAAGTGGATGTTTCTTAATGGAACTTTTGATTATAATGGCCCTTTATGCCTTCAACCCAGCTCTGCCGCAACCAGGAAGAGGAAGCCGAAGGTCCCCTCATCATCTCACATCCAGGATGATGATACAGATATCACATCCCTGGACTCCATGACTACAATACACCCAAAACCCATTTTGCATCCTGAAGTGGTCATACCTCCTTCACGTCCGTTCAAGCTTGCAAAGTGCCTCCCTACCAAACCACGGGCACCAGCTCCAATAGAAGTTCAGTCTAGTCCAGATGGCATTAACGAGCCTGACACCGAGGAGCCCATCAACCTTTCTGATGGCAAGGTCCCCAGCGAAGATGATGTGGACCACAATGATTCACGCTCACGGAAACGGAAGTTGCAGGCTGGAGGTAATATATGAGCCATGAAGAAACATGTGCAATCGATCGAGTTAGAGGAGAAGATAGTCGTTGGGAAGAAGCCAAGTGCAAAGGCTGCAGGCAAGGTTTGCGCCAAGGGAAGGCAGTTGTCTCCTCTCATGGTGGAATCCTCAGGGGACGAACAACAGCAGCCACCTCCTGCTATAAGCAAGTCTCCTGTGATTATCTCAGTTCAGCGGTGATCCTGACTTATAATTTTACAGATAATGCAGCAACACATACTCGCGATGGACCTCCTGATGTCGCAAATCTCCTGTGATTATCTCAGTTCAGCGGTGATCCTGACTTATAATTTTACAGATAATGCAGCAACACATACTCACGATGGACCTCCTGATGTCGCAAAAGGTATTCATTATACATACATGTTCAAAGCAATACTAATGTAAGTTCAGTGCAACGTGCACGCCCAGTGGCTAAGGGAAGTCAACCTGTTCTTGCCAAGGCCATGCATCTCCTGTGAGCCCCTTCAGTGACAAACTCCGCATTATATGAGGCAACTGATGTGCATAATATCCTGTATAACACGGGCCAGCGGACCATGGGCCGATGATGAAGATATCCTCAATGTTAATGGATGGGCCGGGAGGGATATTATTACCGATGAATACGGGTGGGCCCATCTAGGTAATATGTAGAGTAGGATGGACATGTATATTATAGACAGGTGGGCTGAAGGGAGATGTATATTATATAGACGGGTGGGCTGATGTAGTGGTATTATTATATAAACGGGTAGGGCCGGAGGAGCAGTTTATTATATATGATATAGACGGGTGGGCCGAGGTAGTAGTATATTATATAGATGGGTGGGCCGGTGTAGGGTATATTACATAGACAGGTGGGCCGAGGTAGTAGTATATTGTGTAGACGGGTGGGCTGAGGTAATTGTTATCATATAAACGGGTGGGCCAAGAGAGCGATTTATTAGATATTATATAGATGGGTGGGTCGAGGTAGTTGGATATCACATATACGGGTGGGCCCAGATACGTATCATATAGACATATGGGCCGAGGTGGTAGTATATTATATAGATGTATGGGCCGAGGTAGTAGTATATTATATAGACGGGTGGGCCCAGAAGAATGAGTGTTATAAACATCAGTGGGCTGAGATAGTTGGATAACATACTAATCAGTGTGCTGATGTAGGCACCAGTACATACTGACTGTATGACTGCATACACCTATCATCGACCACCGAAACGAGAAACACAAAAGCCTGAATACAACATTTCGTAAATTAGACAAATCACCAAGTACCTAATACCGAGTACCAAGTTCCGTGTAACTAATCCCGATGTCCAGGTAACTGATATCGAGTTCCGGGCATCACGTACCAAGTTCCGGGTAACTGATATCGACATCCAGGTAACTGATATCGAGTTCCGGGGATGTCGTAAATTGGACAAATGACTGAGTACCAAGTTCCGAGTTCCGGGCATCAAGTGTGAAGGACCGAGTTCCAAGGCCTGGGCATCGAGTACTGAGTTCCAGGCTTGGACAAATGACTGAGTACCGAGTTCCAGGCATCAAGTTCCGAGTTCCGGGCATCGAGTGCCAAGTACCGAGTTCCGAGGTCCGGGCATTGAGTACCGAGTTCCAGGCACCAAGTTCCGGGCATCGAGCACCGAAATACAACTCAGTGCCCAGAACTTGGAGCTCAATGCCCGGACCTCGGAACTCGGTACTTGGCACTCGATGCCTGGAACTCAGAACTCGGTACTTCACACAATGTTGGATTTTAGTCTCGTGTTTCAGTGCTCGATGCCCGGAACTCGGTGCCTGGAACTCAGAACTCGATGCCTGGAACTCGGTACTCGGTCATTTGTCCAATTTACGACATCCCCAGAACTCGATATCAGTTACCCGGATGTCGATATCAGTTACCCGGATGTCGGTATTAGTTACCCAGAACTTGGTGCTCGATGCCCGGAACTTGATATCAGTTGCCCGGACGTCGATGGATGTTACCCGGATGTCGATATAAGTTACCCGGACGTCGGTATTAGTTACCTGGACATTGGTATTAGTTACCCGGACGTCAGTATTAGTTACCTGGAACTCAATGATTTCATTCTTTGGGTATAGCAGAGGTACAATGCATTTCAAGAACATTTACAGAAATCTAACTACCAAATTATGTAGACATTTCAACCTCGCCCAGATGACCCTCATCACCACCTTCAACTTCAACCTTCACACCTCAACATCCATCTCATCACCAGAATTGTATTCCAGGACAAGGTTGCATGGATCATCCGGCACCAAAATTGCTCCGGCAGTTGGGGGAGTAGGTGATGGGTCCCGGGCTGGTTGAACTTGGCTCAGCTCAAATGAAAGACCCTCGATGGCAGAGGGATCCTCAATTTTCGAGGGTGTGGGCTCCACTGCAATTGAAATATCGATGAGAGGAGGGAGTGCAGATTGGGAGGGTGATGTTGTTCCAGTGACGGATTGATCAAGCAACAAAGACGTTGCAATTGCCTGGAGTGGTGGGAAGGGGAAATGAGGGATGGGGTTCCATGGTTTGGCATCGAAGGCTCTCATGGAGCCTGCTGAGGGTATCAATATGTCTGCCCTGCTCGGCAACAAGATCCTCGAGAGCCTTGATGCGTTCGGCACTATCGCGAATACTTCTTGCCATGGAATGGAGGTCCGGCATAGGGACATCAAGAGCTGCATGAGGCACGCGGGCACTCGAAGATGCAATTGCTACAAAGCAATAAGATAAGATGATGATGAGAAATTCGAAAGACTTACGAGCTGATGCAGGTGAGGGTGTAGGTGGTGGGGCGGAAATTGAATACCAATTGAATAACATTGATAGTGACATATGAGACAATGGTACATGTACGTTACTTTTTGCCCCTTGCTCTAGTAACTCTGTCAGATGATTGTTGCACTGACTTACTCCGAGTTGTTCTCGCCGGTGCCTCAATCGCATCTTTCTTCCCCAGAAGCTCTTCGGGGCTGGCAGTGGAACTTCATGTTCAACATCGCCAGGGCCCTCAGCCTCACTCTCAGATTCGGTTGATGAATCCCGAGGTCTCTGGATCATCACCCTCTTACAGCTTCAGACGAGGAGGTGATTTCTCGGATACAACAGAATCTACCATGTCGCCTTCTTTGTTCCTCCATGCCTTGAACAGGAACATTGGACCTTCACCCATCTTCTGACGAGCATACCAGAAATTGAGCAAGGCGGTGGTATCCCAATTTTGCAATTTGGAAGGCTCCTTCAAGTTTTCATCCTCTGGAAGATACTGTCTGGCCACAAAGTCATCCTGACTTTGTATGATGGCACTCCACGGCACGACGGCCTTGTCAATCCCAGAACAGATCCCTGTACCCTACATTAAAGATATTCTCTTAGGAAGTTACAAAGCCAGACTCACTATAGTGCTTTGTAAGAAAAGCCCTCACTATGGCCTTCTTCTCCTCCAGTTTTGTTTCCGTGATGTCCGGAAGCAACGGCATCCCATCCCCGTCCAATTCCAGATCAAACACTGGTTTCTTCATTCTTTTTTCGCCCTCCCTTCACCTGTCGCCCTCCATCCTGTGCCTCACCACCTATGATCCCGACAATCAATGAAATCATTCTCGTCTCCACAGTGGGAACACTCACTGAACTGTTCCCTGCGCGTACTCCTGCCAAACCGGCTCTATGTCCTCCCAGTCCTTAGTCTTCATGAAGCTCTCATCCCACATTGTCTCCACATCTCGTTTGAAAAGTGCTCCATATATACAGGTCCCTTCTTATGGGCGACTTGCGCCTGTGTCTCAGGAGGAGGAAAGTTGTTGGACCATTCTTCGGTGGTTTCTTTCGCCTTCTCCAACTCATCCTCGGACAAATCGGCCATGACCTTCTTCACCACAGCTTGATAATGCTTGAACATGTCTTGACCTCCTGGCTTTGCCCCGAACTTGTCCTCGATCCTCTTTAGCACTTCCTCTCTGTTCTGCTGATAGATCACCTGCCTAGGCGTCCATTTCCTCCCATACTTAATCATGTCCTTCCTTTCCTTCTTTTTCTTGTTGTTGAACAACCAAGTTTCATACATCTAAGAGGCAGAGGAAGAATCAGACATGAAAAATCGAGTTTTTCAACACAACAAGGATGTATCACCTGCTTCCTCTTTTTCCATTGTCCTTGGTCGACCTTAGGAGCAAATAACCTGGCCGCTTGAGCTATGGCATTGAAAACTCCCCGTTTCTCGCTCCTTTTTGCAGAAGTCCACTCAGGAAGGTAGTTCTTCAGCTCTGAAATTTCATTTTCTGTGAGCTTCTGTGACTGTGGTTGATGTGTTCTGTGTCTTCTAGAAGTCAACTGAGTGGAATGACCTGATCTTGCCATGGTGAATAAGATTGCAGAATGGGCTGAGGATAAGCAAAGTGGAAGCAATAATGGTCGCGAGTTCAACTTTGATCAAAGCCTAACAGTTGGTTAATCTACCTATAACGGATGCAATGCCATTCATGGAAATGAATTGGTAATGAGCCAACCAAACTGCATAATACGATGATGGAATAACAATTCGTTTGACCTTCCTGAGCTAATGCTTTCCTTGCAACATTAAAAAATAAAATGAAGATAGGTTGTTGCACCCCATTGCAGAAATCCCACAGAGTAGAAGCAAGGGGCAGCAAAGGTAGGAAGACATGGGTCAAGGTCCCACTTGCCAGCATGAGTCGACATGCCTACAGGTCCATGCCTAACTCTCCCCCGGAATCACCAACACTTGAACCTGTTCAGGCCCCACCTCCTTGGGAAGACTTTCCTGAAGATACTTACGAGCAAGACCAAGGGTCATTTGAGCCCTTGCAACTCCCAAAAACAATGGCAAGTTCATGTAAAATGTTGGAATGTCTTTCGAACGAAAGCTAAGTATTAAAAAATGCAGAGTCAAAATGACTACCTCAGGCAATGGCTGCCAAGGCAGGAATCATATCTCCATCACCTCCTGGATCGAGAAGCTCCACCAGAAGATAGGAGATGCGTCATCTGCGATCAGGATGGGGTCTTCAAATGTCAAGATTGTCTCGGGGAGCCTCTCTATTGCACAGGCTGTTGCCGGAGTCAACATCGTTGCAATCCTTTCCACTGGATCAGTCAATGGAATGGTCAATTCTTCGAGCAAAGTTGTCTGGCTCATGTTGGACTCATCATATACCTCGGTCATGATGGCAAGCCATGTCCGGTAGTCACGGATAGGTGGGATTTGTTTGACGAAGATGAACAAGAAGACCACTTTGAACCTGAAGATTTACCATCTGTGTCGGGACCCGAGTTCCAGCCCAAGGAAAATACAATGGTCATCATTGACAAGTCAGGAGTCCATCGCCTTGAGGTTCGATGCTGTGATTGTCCCGATGCCATGAGTCCAGACATTCAAATGTTTCGACATGGCTTTTTCCCTGCATCATTTAACAAGCCGAAGACCGTGTTCACCTTCAGAGTGCTAGATGATTTTCTGTTGGACAACCTCAAATGCGGCACCTCAGCGATGAACTATTACAGCAAGCTTCGGCGAATGACCTCAAGCAGTGTTTCCCCACCTCGTTCCGGTAATACCATATCTACATCATCTGAAGCACATTATATTGACAAAGCACGTTGCAAGGACCAATACAGAGAGCTTATGAGAGTCGCTTGACAGTGGAGGCAGTTAAAGTCTATGAAATGGCATGGCTTCGGGCATAGTTCCGACAACCTGAATGCTGGAGATCTTGCATTATTCTGCCTGGCATGTCCTCAGCCAGGGATTAACATATCCTTGTCAGGGGATGAATCACTTGATGAGTGAGTCTCTTTCGTTACCGAATCTACATCGGCGATATTAAAAACTCCAAGCTGGAAATACACCCGGTCATTTGTGATGGACGGAAATTTCAAAGCCGAACACCTGCATCCCATCAAGCCATATGATGAAGTATGGCTCTCCAATGGGTTGGGGTTTATGGTGGGAAAGGAAAGGTATCAAAAGCATCTTGAAGAGGCTGCTGACACTGGAAAAATCGAGCTGCAACAATCATCGGGCTGTCAATCAAGCAAATGCAGCTCGGCACAAGCTGGAGTCCACCAGCATCGGGGGAGTAGCCTGTGCCCGACACGGTTGCTTTGTCCCTCACTCGATGGTAGATTTCCAGAAAGGCGAAAGGCAAGCCGGACATGCTGTTCAACATTCCCGAGTTGACCATGCATCGTTTGCAGACAAATGAACATGGACTACGCACTTTGTGAGGCTGCCCAGCACAACATGGATGGGATTACAAGGGCTGTCACCTTCTATGACATCAACTGTCAATACAACAAGCACTTGCGTGTTCGGGTGGATCGAGGCCGAATTTCTGACAATGGTTCCAGAATTGACTGTCATTCCCAGAATCGGGCTGTGGCACATCCATGAACATCAGGATAGCTGCTATGTCAGATATGCGTCGAATTTCATTGAAGGCATTGGTTGCATTGATGGAGAGATCATGGAGACCCTATGGGCACATCTCAACCTGATTTCTCCTGCTGCTTGGGGAATGTCTTCCCCGCATCGGAAAGAATGTCTTGATTTCCAGATGAATGATTCCAACTTTTGCAAGATGATCTGCATGAAGAGGACCCTTTGCCGGAAATACAAGCAGGCGAAGAATGGCATTGCCGAAAGTGGAAAGGCTTTTGACAGACTCGACGAAGCCGCACCGGCCAACTTAAAGACAGACTGGTTAGCCAGTGAGAGGATCGCTCAGTCCAACAGAATACAAGATCCAGGTGCGATGGATATATATGAGATTAATATCAAGAAGGGTGAGATCACTCTGTCTCGATCGAAGTCTGAATTCATTTTGAACCCAGCACCGAGCAAAATGGAGATAGAGCTTAGACTGCTGCAGGAGGGTAATGCCTGTCATGCAGCACCCTCTCGCAGATCTGTGGCAACATGGATATCAATGGGCCTGGCAATTGAAGAGGCCCAAATTGCATTGCACATTGAGGTCTGAAGAATAGGAAAAAGAACTACCGAGACTCAGAGATTAGACATCGCCCGGCAACGCGATCGTCTACAAGGCCAGATAGATGCATTCACTCAGACTGCTCTGACGCATCTGGGAGAGGGATTTGATGCAGATGACGACCCTGATGATTTGAATATAGACATTCTCGATGATCTCGATGATGACCCAGAGGATTTCATTGGGAAGTCCAATACATGGACAAACTCCCCGAGCTCACTGTCATCCCATTGCCATCAAACCTCGGGGTAGATCAATCCAACATTTGTATGGCAGAGGATCTGATTCCGCTGGAGTTGTCGCTTCGTGAAGGACAGGCCAATGATGCCCTTCACAACCTCTGAATTCACTTGTGCAACAAGGCAATACTCTTCCGAACAACAGTCAGGCAAGCCAATCTCAAGCATTGAAAACCCGAGCTTGCTCCCAGGTGACATCAGTGCAGCAGGCGGTGTCCCTCCATGCCAGCATATATATTGGCGATCATAATGCCCGAAGGTCAGTGAAATGAGTCTCTCGCTTGGTTCTGGTCTATCAAAGTAGATTTGGGGGTCCGGATCACTCGTGGAATGAGGAATGTGAGTTCCAGGCTTGCTTGACAAATGCCTGCAATCTGACCGGACCCGTGTGAAGTTTACCGAGTTCATTGGATTCGGGCAAAGGCACTACGGGATCAATGGAAGGAAGAACTGATGTTGGTGGAATTGGAGATGGATTGGATGTGTAATTTCTTCTTGTGGAAATCAACGCAATGGGGCGACCGGATGAGGGAATCATTGGTGAAATGCCTTCCAGGTCATGCTTGCTACTCTGGAAGGCAATCCCAAATGTATTCATTACTGGCGCAGGATGCTCAGGCAGTGTTTCAAGACCTGCAGAGCATGTTAATAGATGCCCGAGATGAATGAATTATGAATATGTTCTGCTGATATATGATTCGATCCCAACAATTGAGTCTCGGCAAGGGGCCGGGTCAGCCCATGTCGGAGTTTGAATTATTTTATCAATCCATCAGTGGATCCCATCTGAAAAACCGTCATTATCATTGCTAGCATCCTACTCCTTCATTGCCCATGTCTGATTTAAATTCACCTCCTGATCCACTTTTGCACCTCCTTTTGCACCTCCTGCATCTACTTCTGCCACTGAGGATTCCGGCAATGAATATAAACCCCCCACAATGAGTCTTGCAGATATTGCAGTTACATTGGCAATGGCTGCATCATGCGTTCAAGCCTGTATCAGTCAATATCAGACGGAGGCTGCTGAGAACAATGTTCCTTCGGCTTGGATAATGTACTTTAAAGCCGGAATCCAATGGGATCACTGTAAGCCATCAGACAGATGACTGTGGTTGGCAATATGCTGAGATTGCCAACAGACTTTTGTGACACTTATGCCACCCCCAATTGCCTCATATTCGTCACTTGTTTCTCAGCTCACATGGAACACAGTTCCAGACCACATCTTTCATCCCACCTATCCGAGTTTTGTCTGGTCCGGATCATGGAGAACCTCCCAGATCATATCCTCCTATGATACTCCATGGTGGATGGGGCACACTCAAATCCCTAACCAACCATGGCAATGG